GAGGTGTGCAGGATCCATGTTTCTGGCACAGATAGCGCACAGCAAGGAGGGATGTCCGGGTTTGCGGTGATATTTGAAAAAAGGTGCAAAACATTACGGGATACAGATGAAATTATGGAATGGAGAACACTGCATTATAGGATGTTGAAATCATGTTCCCAGTCATCCCTGGATGACTCATTTGGCCCCACGAGGCACTGCAAACCCGTACCAAAACACCCTGTGCTAGATAGTGGTGAGTTCCACAGTGAAATAGCTACCCATGATGCACTGCTCGCCGCATCTATGCAAGCGCTGCTAGTGAGGACGCACACAGTCAACACAAGGAGCGTAGTGTAGACATGCAAAATCAATTTAGACTCATAGACTCTAAGGTCAGAAGGGACCATTATGATCATCTAATTATTGCAGCAGCTATATGCCGACATACTTAGGTCAACACAATTTTGTAGTTAGACATGCCCTTAGAGTTGTTATGCAAAAAGACTCTGCAAGATTTAGACATAGCCTGGATGTGAAAACCTAGAAAGAAATCAAAGTCAAAGGTGACACCGAGGTTATGGGCTTCAGTGACAGGCAGGAAGGTAGTGTAGTTTGCCGCAATTAAGAAAGGAGGTAGCAGGAAGGATATCGGGTGCAGGGAAAATTTAAAAGCTTGTTTTAGTCATGCTGATCTTGAGCTGATGCTAGATACAGAGGATAGGACAAGAAACAATGGGCTTAAATGGCAGCAAGGGAGGTTTAGGTTGGACATTAGGAAAAACTTCCTAACTGTCAGGGTGGTTAAGCACTGGAATAATTTGCCTAGGGAGGTTGGGGAACCTCCATCGTTGGAGATTTTTAAGAGGAGATTAGACCCCTTGTCAGGAATTGTCTAGATAATACTTAATCCTGCAATGAGTGAAGGGCACTGGAATAGAGGACCTCTCAAGGTCCCTTCCAGTCCTACGATTCTATGATTCTATATCCATGAGGAGATGTCAGAGAGACAGGCTGAGATTTTAGTTGAACAGATGGAGAGAGGTCCGGAGTAGAGAGGTAGGTCTGTGAGTTATCTGCATGAAGATGGTAGGTGAATTTCTGTTTGTGGCTAAGATTACCCAGAAATAAGGTGTAAAGGAACAAAACCCTGAGGAATCTCAGACAAAGTTGCAGTGTGTGGTGGTGGCGGTGGTGCGGGGAGAAGGATCCTCTGAAGGACACACTGAAGGAGTGATTTCAGAGGCAGGAGGAGAACTGGGAAAGGACAGTCACAGAAGCCAAAGGAGGACAAGAATCCAAGAAGAGCATGACTGACGGTGTTAACATGGCTGACAAATCAAGACAATTATGATGGAGTGCTGGGTTCTGAGCTTTGGCTAGGAAGAGGTCATTAGGGACTTTGACAAGAGCAGTTTCAGTTGAGTGAAAAGGACAGAATCAGGATTGGAGAACAGTCTCAGATAAAACTGGAGGAGAGCAACTCCAGACAATGATTGTAAACAGTGCATTCAGTGAATTCAGAGAAGAAAGGGAGAAGAGAGATGGGGCAGTAGTCAAGCAGGGACAATGGTGTGGATTTTTTTTTTTTAAAGATGGGAAATACTAAAGCTTGCTTGTATTGTGACAGGGAAGAGCCAGAGGAAAGTGGGAGGTTAATGAGAAGAGTAAGGAAGGGGAGGAGAGTGGATGCAAGAGAGACAGGATGGGATGCCTACAGCATGCAGAGAGGTTAGAAAACATGCGGCCTTACTCATAATGCTTTCCACTCGTGCTAAAACTGATAGGTGCTAAAACTGGTAGGCATAACCTAACATCATCTTCCTCTGTTTCATTCTGAAACGAGATTCAGACATGATCTCCTCTGCTGCTATGGGAAAAGGTACAAATAAAAAGGAGGGGAAGAAAGAGAATTAAACCTCTGCTTCTGGTACATATTATCCCTGTGGCTCAACAAAAGAAGCAAAATGAAATTAACAGGAATACAGTCAGTTACACTTGACTGCTGCTTCCCCCAGGCCCTGTTGCAGAAACATTAAAAGTCAAAGCACAGATGCAGGAGAAAAGAAAAAATGCTAAAATGGGATGGATTGTAGGAACAATCAGAGGCTTGAAGAACAAATGTGGAGACTACAGAAATTTGGCATACAAAACACCACTTGGTCCATTACATATCTGCACAAAAAATGCTCATAATTATGCAAAGCTGATCAAACTATTTGCATTAGACTTCCTTTCAGCAAGGTTAACCGTTGTATGGTCTTCCACTATGCCAGTCTTCACTTGTGCAATGTGGACAGAAATTGCTGGTGTAATAACACCAGCCGTGCAAAGAGTCTACTTTCCCACAGTGCACTGATCACTACTTAGGTGGTCTGCCTGCTCTATTTTCTTTATGGCAATACACAGAGTCATGTTTGCAGGAAGCAATGTACTGAACAAGTCATACTGCATACACTGCAGCTCATTTGCATATTATTTCACAGCAATCAACTTCTTTAAGTATCTACTATAAGAAGACTTCTCCCCATGAAGATATTCACAAATCACAACCAAATCATTTCTTAAGCTTCTCTTGGTTAAGCTAAACGGGGTTGAACTTCTTACGATTCTCAGTGTAAAGCATGTTTTCCTCAAATCATTCTCATAGCTCTTTTCTGAACCCTTCCCAATTTTTTACCAGCACTGGACACAATATTCCAGGAATTCTCTCACTAATGCTGTTTGAAAAGGTAATACTACCTCTCTTCTACACAATCTTCCCCTGCTTATATATCCAAGGATCATGTTGCCCCTCTTAACCAAAGCATAATACTGTGGGAAGTATC